GTGGACTTCAACTCCCAGAATTCCTGAGCCAGCATGGGGGAACTATGGCCCCCTCATGACTCGTGGACTTCAACTCCCAGAATTCCTGAGCCAGCACGGCTCAGCTTGGAAACCTCTCCCTTTCCCCTCAGCATAGCTGGCTCAGGAATTCTGGGAGTTGAAGTCCACCAGTCATAAAAGAGCCAAGGTTGCCTACTCCTGGTCTGGGGCTTTCCGAGTCCCAGGGGGGCCTTGTGGCACTCAGCCGGACTGGGCAACCGGACAGGATGTGCCCTCCGTGCTTCTGGGCCAGCTTTGCTCAGCTGACAGTGGCCACAGTGGGGGAGATGTTTGCCCCACCTCAGCTTTTCCGTTCCTTCCCCCTTTCCTGCCAGGAATGCCGATGGTTTCCTGGATGCCGAAGAGCTGGTGGAGATCTTCCGGATGTCTGGGGAGGCGGTCTCGGAAGGGGAGATCCAGGAACTGATGAGGGACGGAGACAAAAACAACGATGGGAGGATTGATTTCGATGGTGAGCAGCTCAGATGGATGGACGGACGGACGGAGCTTCTTGGGGGCTGACCCATAGCTCCCCTCCCTCCTGTCCCCCCCAGGGGGAGAAAGGCCCTGATCCAGCCTTCTCCCTACATGGAGTTTGGGACCTTAGGGGCCAAGACCCCCGGCCAAAGCCCTTCCTGGAACCCCCGAGCAATTCAGGTTGGGGGGTGCTGGGCGTCCCTTTGTGGGGGGCTGCCCTCCTTGGCTCCTCCAGACCCCATCTGGGAGGGGGTGCTTGCTGCCCATCCTTGCTGGGGGGGCTGACCCATCTCCATCTCCCCCCCCCAGAGTTCCTCAAGATGATGGAGGGTGTGCAGTAAAGCGTCGAGACATTCCTGGCAGACCGGCCAGTGGGAGGGGGCAGCTCCCCCCCAGCCCCGCCGAGCCCCCGAACCCCCTGCTCCTGCGCCAGCTTGCTCTGCACAGCTCAGAGACGCCTCTTCAGCAAAACTCTGGATCCCATCATCCCCAGCTCTGAAAGCCTGTTTTGAACACTGACACCTCAATAAAGAGCAGCGGACTGGAAGCAGAAGGGCTGCGGGGCTGAGTTCGGTTGCGGAAGCATCATCGTCCCTCAACCCCCCCGAGAGGCTGCCTGGCTAGGGAGGGGGAGATAGGCAAGACCCCCCCTTCTTGTCCTCTGGGTGGGCCCCATCATTCATGCCAGGCAGGGGGAGGGGTCGTCCAAGGAGTACACTTACATTCCCTTTGGAGGAACTAAACCCTGTGGAGGGGGAAGGAGTGGGGGGGCTCCGGGAGGCGTGGGGCTCCTGCCTCTCCCTGGGCATCAGGGCAGGGCACCTTGTCCCCCCCCCGTCCCAGGCTGGCTCAAGGGAGAAAGCAGGGCATGGGGGGGGGAAGGGAGGCATCTTAACCTCTCCCACCCCACCTGCAAGCCCAAAGGCAGGCTGGCCTCTGTGCCCGGCCATGTATCTGCCAGCCTCCTGGAAGAAATGGACGATAAACAGGGCTGCTCCATGGTGGCAGCTGAGCTGCCTTGAACGGCTCTGGATCCCCTTCCTGAGTGGGGGGCACTGACCCCTCCTCTCCCTCACCGTGGAAGGTGGCTGTGGAACGAGAAGCCAAGCCCTCCCTCCCTCCCTCCCTTCCTATTTCTTTCTTCCTCCTATCTCTCTCCCATTCTTCCCTTCCTTCTTTTTCTTTCTTCTTCCTATCTCTCTCCCATTCTTCCCTCCCTCCCTCCCTTTTTTTCTATCTCTCTCTCTCCGTCCCACCCTTCCCTTCCCTCCTTCCTTTTCTATTTCTTTCTTCCTCCTCTTTCCCTCCCATTCTTCCCTTCCTTTCCTTCCTCCCTTTTTCTCTCTCCCTCCCTCCCTCCCACCCTTCCCTTCCTTTTCTTCCTTCCTTCCATCCTTTTCTTCCTTCCTCCCTTTCTATTTCTTTCTTCCTCCTATCTCTCTCTCCCATTCTTCCCTTCCTTCCCTCCCTTTTTTCTCCTCTTTCTCTCCGTCCCACCCTTCCCTTCCCTTCCTTCCTATTTCTTCCTTCCTCCTATCTCTCCTTCCCATTCTTCCCTTCCTTTTTTTAATCTCTCTCTCCCTCCCACCCTTCCCTTCCTTCCTTTTCTTCCTTCCCTCCTTCCCTCCCTTTCTCCTATCTCTCCCTTCCTTCCTTCCTTCCTTCCTTCCTTCCTTCCTTCCTTCCTTCCTATCTCTCCCTCTCCACTCCACTGTGAGCAGTCCACACAACAAAACTAAGCAGTAAGACAATACACCCCACAAGGAACAATGAGACACAATGCAGACTCAAAGTGTTCCAAGCTGGTGATAATCCTGTGGGGCAGCTCTCCACCTCAGCACCCCCCCCCAATGCCCAGGATTACACCTGTCTACTGGAGCCCCTGGGGGGGGGGTGACCCAGGTCTAAGGGCAGCAGGGCTCCCCAGGAGGGGATGCAACTCCCTGGCAAGGGTCACCTAAGACATCTGAGGGGGGGGGCTGTCTAGGAACACCTGTCCTCAAGGATGGGGCGGGACAATTTCTTCCAGAAAGGCAATTTCCTGGCTCCCCTTGCAAGCCAAAGTTTGTGACTTCCGCTGTGTCTGCTGGAGGTTCTCGGAGGGAGGAGGGAAAGCCCCCCCAGACATGTCCGGGATCGGAGTCCAAGGGGCTCCATGTGAAAAGGACAGGAGGATCCTAAAGGCTGGTGCAATTATACACCATGGGCCCTGGGATCCCCTTTTGTGACCTCCCCTTTTGTGACTAAAGCCAATTCAATGGGGAAGCCAGATTCGCTTAACAACGGTGGGAAGAAAAGTCACAAAATGGGGCAAAACTCACTTAGACTGGAGGGAGATTTGAGGACAAGAAAATAACTAGCATTTAAAACTGCAGCGTTCGGGAGGTCTCCAGCCTTGCCTCCCAGCTCTCTTTGACCTCCCCTCCCATTCTGCAGAGTGGCTTGGAAATATTGCTCCCCCCCCCTCTTCTGGGGTACTAGGTACAACTGGAAAATGACCATGGACCATCAAGGCTTAGGGGTACCAGTCTTTTCTCACTGGAGCCAAACCAGGGCTCTTCAAACTTGGCCACTTTTAAGACGTGTGGACTTCAACTCCCAGAATTCCTCAGCCAGCAAATGGCTGTCCAGTCTCTTCTTCAAAACTTCCAGTGTTGGAGCATTCACAACTTCTGGAGGCAGGTGGTTCCACCAATTAATTGTTCTCAATGTCAGGAAATTCCTCCTTAGTTCTAGGTTGCTTCTCTATTTGATTAGTTTCCATCCGTTGCTTCTTGTCCTGCCTTCAGGCGCTTTGGAGAATAGCTTGACTCCCTCTTCTTTGGGGCAGCCCCTGAGATACTGGAAGACTGCTATCATGTCCCCCCTCATCCTTCTCTTCTTTACACAAGACATACCCAATTCTTGCAACTGTTTTTTGTATGTTTTAGCCTCCAGACCCGATCATATTTATTACTCTTCTCTGCCCTTTTTTTTTCAATTCACTGAAACCCACTCCCAAACTCAAATAGGCATCACTTTATAAAAACAAGGGAAGTTTATTTATACATTAACACCACGGGAAAAGCCAGATAAACTTTGAAATGATCTATAATACAATAGGGGCTGACGTACAGAAATCACAAGGATAAAACAGAAGATAAAAAAGACTGGTGGGCCCCCCACCAGCGAAGTGGTGTGCTGGCTGGAAGGACATCAAGTATCCTGACTCTTCATGTGTTTTCGATAGGATTCGTGGAGGTATTTTCTGTAGGCTGTGTGAAGAGACAACAGGGACAGAGTAAGGACCCCGGAGACAGTTTTGCGTTTAGAAAAAAGGGTGAAGACGGAGCCAAATTCAGCCAAAGGTTTTCTGGGCATCAAATCCTGCCCATCCACCCCCAACAGAGCTGGGCAAAGATCCAAGGGGACGGCAATTCTTTTGTGCAATTGTGTGCCTGCTCCCCTGCAGCCGTGAAACTCTGCAGCTGTAAAAACTATACAGGTGGTTCTTTACTTACAGCCACAACGGAGCCCCAAATTTATTGTGGTTAAATGAGAAATTTGCGAAGTGAGTTTTGCCTCGTTTTACGACTGTTCTTGCCACAGTTAAGCGAATCGCAGCATTGTTCAGTTAGTAACACGTTTGGTTACATGAATCTGGCTTCTCCGTGGACTTTACTTATGCAAAAATAGGACCCCGGGACACGGCGACCGTCATGAATATGAACCAGTTGTCAAGCAGCTGAATGTGGGTCACATGACCGCGGGGATGCTGCAACGGTCACAAGTGTGAAAAATGGTCCTAAGCCACTTTTTTCAGTGTTGTCGTAACTTCCAACAGTCACTAGCCCAGGGGTAGGCAACCTCGGCTGTTTTAGGACTCGTGGACTTCAACTCCCAGAATTCCTGAGTCAGCATAGCTGACTCAGGAATTCTGGGAGTTGAAGTCCACGAGTCCTAAAAGAGCCGAGGTTGCCTACCCCTGCGCTAAACGAATTGTTGTAAGTAGAGGACTGCCTGCACCGCACAAAGCAGCTGCCTTCAAAAGACAAAGATGCCGGAGAAGGTAAGCCAAAAGGAACCAAGTTGCTTGCCTCCACCACTTTCAGACAAGAAAGATCCAAGTCCTCATGAAGCTCTTAAAATAAAGAAAAGGACCCCACCACAGCCCAAGTTGCATTCTGCAACTCTCCCTCAGTGCTGGGGAGAGGGGGAGGGGGCGTCTTTCGAAGGGTTCTCTTCTCGGGAGATTTCCTTATTTGTTAGCATTTCATTCTGCCTTTATAGGAAACTAAGATGGTGAATATGGCCAATACTCCTTTTTCCTCCTGTTTTCCCCAGAACAACAACCCTGTGAGGTGGGCTGGGCTGAGAGAGAGGACTGGCCCAAAGTCACCCAGCTGGCTTTCCTACTTAAGGGGGGAACTAGAACTCCCAGTCTCCTGGTGATTGGCCCATAGTCACCCAGCTGGCTTTCCTTCTAAGGCAGGACTAGAACTCCCAGTCTCCTGGTGATTGGCCTGATGTTACCCAACTAGCTTTCTTGGCTAAGGCGGGACTAGAACTCACCGTCTCCTGGTGATTGGCCCAAAGTCACCAGGCTGGTTTTCATGCCTAAGGCGGGACTAGAACTCACCGTCTCCTAGTGATTGGCCCAAAGTCACCCAGCTGGCTTTCCTACTTAAGGCGGGACTAGAACTCACCGTCTCCTGGTGATTGGCCCAAAGTCACCCAGCTGGCTTTCCTTCTAAGGCGGGACTAGAACTCCCCGCCTCCTGGTGTCTCACCACCAGTCCGAGCTGACTCGGCTACTCACCTGCTTGGTTCTTCCAAAGCTCGGCAGCCTCTGTGTTCAAAGGACTTTCCACGTTTGGCTCTGAAGTGGCAAAGAAGGTCCCAAATCACATTTTTTGTAACAGAATCAAATTCACCTCCCTCCTCCCTGCCATGGTGGGACGGGGAACTCTGCCAGGCCTCGGCAGCGCGCCTGGCACAGGGCAGTCAGTTACTGCATGACTCTTTTCGGCAGAGCCAGGACCCCCCCACCCCCTTCCAGGCAACGGAAGCCCTGGGGTGGCACCCCCTCCCTCTCAACTCCACTTCTTGGGGTGCAGCTCAGAGGCTTCAGTGGGAATTCCACAGCTGGCTGGAGGGGGGGGGGAGAGAAATCCTCCTCCTGCTAGCCCCCCCATTCCAGGCCCCCCCTTCCTCCTCACCTCCCAGTAAGCTCTGGACGGAGAGCAAAATGGTCCGGACGTCGTAGAGAGCCGACCACTTGTCCTTGAGGATGTCCAGGCAGATGTTCCCCTGAAGGTCCACGTTGGGGTGGTAGCAGGGGGTGAGGAACTTGACGGTGGGGGCGTTGTAGGGGTACCCGCTGGGGAACTCCAAGGACAGCTTGTACCTCAGGTCCTCATAGACCTGCATTTGCAAAAGGGGAGGGGGAAAAGATCAGGCGTGGCACGGGGGAGGGCAGGACCCTCTCTGGGGCCTCCCCCTTTTCCTGTGTGGCCCCAATAGTTTCCTTCACCACCTGTTTTCCGCTTGAAAGCCCATTGTCCCAGAGTGCGGCTGATCTTTTGGGGGGGGGGGGAAAATCCCGTTTCTGCAGCTGGGGGCATCTGTCCAGAAACCCCTCCCCCAACAGTCAGAGAGGGTTCTGGCTGGTCAAAGGAAGGAGGCTTCCCTCCCCAGGAGCTCCTGATGACCACAAGGGGCTCCCACGAGGGCATCAGAACCCCCCTCTCCCCCCGCCTGCCTGCCAGTGGAGTGGGCAGACAATCTGCCCCGTTCACCGGCCCCATCGCCGCTTCTTTCACGCATCTGAGCGTTCCCTCGTCAACATCAGCGCTTGGCAACCGGGGCCGCGCCTGCTTCGCCGCTTTATTTGCAGAGCGTGAAAGGCTGCCGGGTTGGGGGAGGGGAAGGGGGGGGGGACAGGAGCCGGAGGCGAATCCTGCGGGGCCCAACCCCCGCCCTCCTCCCTCCTCGGCCCGCTCACCGTCCCAGCCACGCCGTTGATGGTCCCGATCCACTTGAAGAGATTGTCCGACTCCGGGAAGGCCGAGATGCCGCTGTCGCCAGACATCTGCCAGGGGAAGCCAGGCGGATCAGAGGCGCCCCGGGGCGCTTCGCTTCGGGAGCGGCCATCGCCCTCCGCCGTTTGCGGGGGACGGAGGCGGTCGCAGACCGGGGAAAGCCCCCCCTTCCCCCCCCTCCCGGGCGCACAGAGCCCCCCAGGCTCACCATCAGCGTCATCAGCTCCTGCTGCAGCCTGCGGGGCGAGAAAGAGCGAAGTCAGCCCGGGCGGCGGCGCCTCCCCCCCCGGGTCGCCCGAAGCCAGGCCCGCACGTGCCCGGCCACCCCCCGCCCCCCCCGGCCGCGCCCGGCCCACCTGCTGCGGACGGAGCCCCGGGCGGCGACCCCGCCGGGTTCAGCCGCCTTGCCGGGCCCGCGGGCGACGGCGCCGGGGTCGTCGTTCT